CAAATAGAACATATGTTAGAGCATAACCAGAAGTAACCGAAATAGCAAAGTACGGAAAGTGATTATTTAAATAACATTGAAATTTTGATAAGTTTCCTACCTAACCACCTGTATTCACGAACTCAGTAATCTGGCAACACTACGGTCATGAGCGGGACTGTGATTTTGGAGGACCTGTTTGAGTATAGATAATTGGTACTTAATTTTGAATTGCCGTACTGCACGGAACGTTTCGGTAAGGCCAAATACTTACGAGCATATAAAATATGCGCAGCAGTAGTAAGTATCGAGGTTTTGAGACAGAACATACAAGAATTACATACATGCAAATATTGTAGCCTATACATCAAAATCGACGGGCTTATTTAAAAATAAATATGACAGTTTCCTGACATAACACACAATATAATAACATAGAAACCGATATTGCCGTAGAATGGAATAATAATTGCCATTACACCCTAGCAAAACTTACGCATTATCATACGGCCACTGCACGACCATGTTTTTGAGACAGAACAATTTCTGAATATAACATCAACTCTTGCTTTTATCTACACGTTTATCGACATAAACACAATATAAAATACATAAACACTATAATGCTCTAGATGAATAAAATACTTCATTACACCTACCATCCAACTTACGACCTGCTCGACATACGACCACTTGACTTACGACCATGTTTTTTATGCCAAATTTCTGGGAAATAAACAACTATTTGCGTTGTACACACTGTTTATCCTAAACCTTACAGTATAAAATACAGTACTAACAGCATAAAAAGTTAAGTAAAACATGAAATACCAAAATAAAGCAATAAAATAAAGTCATTACAAAAATGTGATGTTTATATTCAGTAGTAAAGTTCGATTTACGTCCATTTCGACTTACGACCAGTTTCTCGGAACCAAACTCGGTTGTAAGTCAGATGATACCTGTGTATGTGTGGCAGTGGCCAATAAGAGTTTGTCTTGAGACAGGACATAATACTCCTTGAATATTTCACTATCATCAACTCTACGGCTTATTTATCTATCACAGTTCATCTAATATGAAATAATAAACAATATAAATAACATATAAACCTAATATATACTCTAGAATGAATAAAATATGTCATTATGTAACAGGTGGAGGCAGCCACAACCGCTCCCTCTTTGTTGTGGTAACCACTGCCATCTAGTGACGGCCTTTTGAAGCCATCTATTTTTATAATTATTATTATGTACTACATTATTATTACATATGTATTATTATTATACGTATTATTATTATTGTATTATACTGTTTATTATTGTTGTATTATATTATTATTACATATGTATTATTATTACATGTATACGTATTATTATTACACCTACCATCCGACTTACGACCTGCTCGACTTATGACCACTCTACTTACGACCATGTTTTTTTTTTGCCAAATTTCTGGGAAATAAACAACTATTTGTGTTGTACACAGTGTTTATCCTAAACCTTACAGTATAAAATAGAGTACTAACAGCATAAAAAGTAAAGTAAAACATGAAATACCAAAATAAAACAATAAAATAGTCATTACAAAAATGTGATGTTGATATTCAGTAGTAAAGTTCGACTTACATCCATTTCGACTTACGACCGGTTTCTCGGAACAGAACTCGGTCGTAAGTCGGATGGTAGGTGTATTATTATTGTATTATATTATTATACTGTTATTATTATTATTATTATTACAATATAAATAATTTGTAATTTTTATTCACACAAAAAATATAAGATTTATTGTTATGCCTTATTGCAATAATTGTATAAATAATGTCAACCCATTCACGACTGGATATTGGAATGGACAGTGACGTCATTTGTTTACTCTTGAACATAGTCAAGCAAACGAGCATTTCTCCCTCATTGAGCTCAATTTCAAGGTACTTTTCGTCATGAAAGCAATCAAAATCATATCTATTTCTGTAATATATCTTCCTTTCTATCAAATGAGACCAAAAAAAACGAGAATACAACCATAAAAACCATACGAAAATACCGCTAAGGGGTGGCTAATTGCTGAGAAGTGAACTCCATTATTTATGCTCCGATTTCTTACATTTTTGGTGTACTTTAAGAAGCATCTTTCCATCATGCATTGCCCAAGTTTCAATAAGATAGTCCAACAAACAAATGAGATACAATTCCCTAGATCAAAAGCAAGAGCCCCTCACCAGCATCAAGGAATCTCCCTCGAGGTCTGCTCACTTATGGAAATTTTGCTCACGTATGGAAGCAAAAAATCAACCCATCGACTCCTCGTATTTGGAAAAACTCGCACGTGGATGCGCTCGCAAGTAGAGATTCCACTGTAGTGTTACTTATTTCCATGCTTTGTGGAGTGTTACACCTTGAAACAATTGTAAAATCCTAGGTATTCTATATATGTATTGTTAGAAGACAAAAGCAGTAAAAAAAAAATAAAAAAAATATTTGCACCAATTTATACTATATATTCTGAGTGAAACAAGGTTGGACTAAGCATTTTCCTCATGTTTGATGTAAAACTCTCTGAAGCACATCTAATATAATAAGAAACTAGTATACATAGTGTTAAACATTAAAAACAAACTGAAAAACAATCATAATTTGGCATCAATAAATTGTAAATAGGGGTGGTGCATTTACACTGCTGTTGCCTACAAGTAATAATTTTTTTACTAACTTTAACATGCCATAGAATTTTAATTTTTTTTTACTAGATTCCACTCATAGTCTTATTAGATTAAAAAAATTGTACTCCTACAGCCTGTAAGAAAAAAAGAATTTGTTCAGAATCTTACTACACACAGGAAATTTATTTCCTGGGTATGCCACAGTTAAATGGTTAAAGACCAAAAGCCATTTTTCATTTATATGCAAGGTTCACAGTGAAATTATTTTTTCAGTTTCATATATTTTTTAGTAAAAATAGGTCAAGAAATGTATGCTTTTACAGTGTCCATTTTCTTTTATTGTAGTGCAAGATTTCATAATTGAAAACTAACTAGAAGATTTTATTCAAAATATAATCACTTGATTTCCCACTCCCAAATCTTTTTTTATTTATCATTCTTTCCTATGAATGCCAATATTAACCAGATTAGAGTGATATATAAAGAAGTAGCTACCATAGTTGTGTCTGAGTGTTGGAAATCACAGCAGCAACCCAGGAGTGAAAGATTTTTAAGAGATGATTTAGTACTTGTCATTTTATATCCATCATACAAATTAAACCCTAATTTTCTAAAAAAAAAAAAAAAAAAAAAAATAATGGAGCTTCAAAACATGACTTGTGTGTTTGCACTTAAGGTAATCTCTCTGGATTGTATTGCCATCAGACATGATGAAAGATGATGCCTTTACTGGGTAGCAAACTTTGAATTTACTTCTGACTTCATACTGTTATAAATTGCTTTTCATATATGATGTGTGTGGTGTCACTTAGTACACTAGGACCCTCGTATCCATGGGGGACAAGTTCCAAGTACCTGCCGTGGATACTGAAACCATGAAAAGTAGCAAACCCTATATAGAAGTCCTATACATACCTTTTATAAAGTTTAATTGATAAATCATGCACAAGTGGAGAATTATCTCTTTTGCACTGAAAGGAAGCACTTCACGGCTTTTCTTAGGCTTTGAAGAACTGCCAGTTTCTCTACTTTTGCACTTTGGGGCCATTATTATGGAAAATTAAAAGGTATTTTTGGGCCACAGTAAACTGTGGATAACTGAAACCATGGATACTGAATCAGTGGATACAGGGGTTCTATTGTATTGTTCTATATTTTGTTGTGGCTTTTTGCACTCATTTCTTGAGTCAGAAGAGAATGAGTTTAAAGATAAACAGCAGGTCCATGGGAACTTGTAACTGAAGACTGCTCATTTATGTTAAGACTAAACCTGTGTAGTAAAGGAATGTTTATTGGTGCTATTAGTTTCTATCTTTTTGTTTCAGACACTAAATACACAACTCCCTTCATGATGCTTTGATGTAGTGTTATATCACTTTGCAATTTTGATGGGAAAAATTTATATTTTTACCTCAGCCTCAACCTGTTAATGGTCACAGCAATACTATGGGTGCAAAATGTTGTATGTGCACTACCTGTGTTGCTTAATTTTGATAGTGCAGGGAAACATCAGTTACCATAAAAATACAGTTCGTTTTAGTTTTACAAATATCGTCACAATTTTAATAAAAAAAATTCCATATAACAGTGTAATACTTCAAATTTTGTCTTAACAGTATTACTGCTTCTCCCAACAATGCACATTATTTTGATCTTTTAGAAGCATTTCATAATAATTTTTATTGTACAGATTTCATATACTGTACTGTAGATCCATCCAGGATAATGAAATTATCCTTCTGCAATTCTTCGAAACTTTAGAGCTAGTGATGGGAAAATATTAAATACAGCCTCTCCTCACTTAACGACAGAGTTCCGTTCCTAAGACCACGTCGGTAAACGAATTCGTCGCTGAGTGAAGAACATACTATAATGGTACAGTACTGGGTTTGTGTTAACCATTTTTTATATTGTTTTAATGTCACCTTTGCACCATTTATAACATTTCTGGTATATTTTTAAATGTTTATACAGTAGTGTACTCTATATTGTAATGAACAGAATGGAGGAAATCAGCTCTAATATACATTATTTAGGCATGCAAACTGGTCAGAGAGCCCATCGTAAGTCCGAGTCGTCAGTAAACAAATACATCGCTAAGTGAGGAGAGGCTGTATTAGTCTTTAAAAGATAAACCAAAAGTGATTTTACTGTTTTTAATAACTTTGCTTGTTTGTTTAATATTAATTCATTCTAAAGTAAGATTCAGCAAATTTGAGAATATTATAGTATAGTACTATTTATCGCCTATTTTCTGTTCTAAGTGTTTGTTTCTGTACTGCTACCTAATCTTGGTTTCCTTTGACCAATTTTTTTCATATCATGTGGTACTGATGCTGATAACAAAATGCAGATCAAGTACTGTTTAAAGGTCAGTAGATCAAGTCACACATGCTCTAGAAAACTGGTTCATGATCTCCATAATGGGAGTACTTGTAAAATTGCTATTCATCTTGAAAATTCATCATGGATTTCCTTAGTGTATCACAACTGTTTATCATTCATTTTTCAGTGCTAATTATACTATCAATACTTGCAAATGAGCTAATACCCAGTAAAACATGTATGACTATTGACATCATTTGCAGTGTGCACATTTTACCAGTATTCTTTAGTGTTTAATTAGGAATCCCCAGTAGGGGGAGCTTACAACTCGCTCTTTGCATTTACTTAACACTTAAACCATTTGTGTGTTTTTGTAAAGTAAAGCTTTTTATTGAAATTGGGCAGTCATTCAAACCTAGTCTGACCAGTAATCCACCAGTCTTTGCCAAGGCCCACTATAAGGCCAATGGCTACATTTGTATCTGTGTCAATAGACACAGTCTGTAGTAGCATCACATATCAGCGGTTGCTTCTTGCATGCACCCCACCATAGGGTCAACAGAATCACTGAATGGGTCATTGTTTGATGAAGAATAATGTTTGGTGTTTTTTCCCATGACCTATGCAGTAGCAACATGGGCAGTGGTAGTTATTTTTAGAAAGAAATATTTAATACATCTGGTAGAACTTCAACTAACTCACTGTGCCTATTTTTTTTTTATGTATGCCATGTGATGTTCTGGATAATCTGGGTTGAAAATGTAAACCTTCAGTTTAGTGGACTAACAGGCATAAGCGAGTGATCACTAATGGCGATTGTGGAGGAGAGATTCTTTTGTACTTATTGTGATAATAGTGGATAATTCTGTAACTAATGGACTTTGTACATTGTTTGTGAATGTGCTGACCCAGTGCATTTTCTCATATTTCTGAAGCCCATTAAATTGAGATCTCTTTAATTGAGAGTATACTGTATTACTCTGTACTATTCCCTAAAGATAATTTATTGTAGTTTCCCTTGTTAATTAAAAATTGATAAGGCTAGTGAATAAGTTCAGTATTGTAATTATTTTTCATAATTTTTGAGTTTTTCTTTCTTTTTGGGTCACCCTGCCTTGGTGGGAAATGGCCTACATGTTAAAAAAAAAAAATTAACAGACAGTTATAATAGCCTGGGATATTATGAGCAGTCCACATTTAAGAAATTGCATTCCTGTAAAGCTGTTTGTTAAACGAATCGTAGTTCATGAAATTATTTTATGCCTTGGTGGGAGACGGCCGACTTGTTGAAAAAAAAAAAAGTATATACATTCCAATAAAATACAACAATTGTAGTACAGCTCAGAGGTTTGTTGGGGAGTACCACATTGCTATTTATTGGCAGTACTTGCAGATGTATTGGAACATGGATTATAATGTGCACTAGAAATGATTGGTTAAAATTCTATATTAATATACAGTCTGTGGAGCCTACAAGTAAATGTTAAATGCTTGGAAAATTAATGATGCAGGAATTGTAGCAAGTGCTTTGGCTGTGATACAGACAGAAATGTTGATTACAGTTGATGGTTCTCATTATCCTTGTCCCCACAGCCTTGTTTGAAACTAGGTCTTCTGCTTAGTGGCTTAGTCATTCTGGAAATTAGTTCTTAATACATGCAGTCCAAAATAGGGTCACAGTCCAGGTTATCAAGAATATCTTGGAGAAACTTGAATAAAATTCCCTCATAACTATAAGTAGTGGTCTATTGCTAATTCTTCTTTGTTTTTTTATTTAATCCTTAAATTGTCCAAACATAAATATTTTGGAAAAAAAAAAGTTTTTTTTTTTAAATTAAAGAGGGGAATTTTCTGTGTGTAATAAAACCAAAAAAATAATAATTAGGATCAGTACTTACCAAGATATAAGACTGCAAAGTTGGCGCTGGATGTTCACCTGACAGCAACATGGAGACCTGCCACTTGCAGAAGTTTTGCCAATTTGCCTTTTTTTTTTTTTTTAATTTATATAATTTTTTTGTTCTGATAATTACAAATTGTAGTAGTTCTTGTGATTTCATAGTCAATGTTTGTTCTGACACTAATATTAAATACTCAAATAGTCACACTGACAGGTGAACATTTTCACCTGCCTTGGTCACCTACTATTGTCTAGAAATATATACATAGTATTTAAAGGTCCCAGCAATGTTTTAGATATGCTAGAGTATATAGTATTTAAAGGTCCCAGCAATGTTTTAGATATGCTAGAGTATATATGAAACTCCTTGAAGCAGCACTGTGTAAGACTAGTGTCACTCCATTGGTGACAGTGCAGCAGTGAGTGACACTTGATGATAGTGCACTGCATTGGCTTTGTTTTCACTGTTGCATATACACTGGACCCCCGAGTTTCGTGATTAATCCATTCCAGAGAGAGTGCCAAAAGTCTAATTTCACGAATTGCGAAACCATTTTCCCCATAAGAAATAATGTAAATCCAATTAATCTGTTCCATACACCCAAAAGTATTAACAAAAATTTTTTTTTATAGATTAAATATAGATTTACATAGATATTGGCAGTTTGGAGAGATATATTGTGTATTTTTATACATATATACTTCTGGGAGCCCTTTGATTGAACTTTGTATAGAAAGGGGTTTAGTTATAGGTAATACATATTTTAAGAAAAAGAGGATAAATAAGTATACAAGATATGATGTAGGGCGAAATGACAGTAGTTTGTTGGATTATGTATTGGTAGATAAAAGACTGTTGAGTAGACTTCAGGATGTACATGTTTATAGAGGGGCCACAGATATATCAGATCACTTTCTAGTTGTAGCTACACTGAGAGTAAAAGGTAGATGGGATACAAGGAGAATAGAAGCATCAGGGAAGAGAGAGGTGAAGGTTTATAAACTAAAAGAGGAGGCAGTTAGGGTAAGATATAAACAGCTATTGGAGGATAGATGGGCTAATGAGAGCATAGGCAATGGGGTCGAAGAGGTATGGGGTAGGTTTAAAAATGTAGTATTAGAGTGTTCAGCAGAAGTTTGTGGTTACAGGAAAGTGGGTGGGGGAGGGAAGAGGAGCGATTGGTGGAATGATGATGTAAAGAGAGTAGTAAGGGAGAAAAAGTTAGCATATGAGAAGTTTTTACAAAGTAGGAGTGATGCAAGGAGGGAAGAGTATATGGAAAAAAAGAGAGGTTAAGAGAGTAGTGAAGCAATGTAAAAAGAGAGCAAATGAGAGAGTGGGTGAGATGTTATCAACAAATTTTGTTGAAAATAAGAAAAAGTTTTGGAGTAAGATTAACAAGTTAAGGAAGCCTAGAGAACAAATGGATTTGTCAGTTAAAAAATAGGAGAGGAGAGTTATTAAATAAAGAGTTAGAGGTATTGGGAAGATGGAGGGAATATTTTGAGGAATTGTTAAATGTTGATGAAGATAGGGAAGCTGTGATTTCGTGTATAGGGCAAGGAGGAATAACATCTTGTAGGGGTGAGGAAGAGCCAGTTGTGAGTGTGGGGGAGGTTCGTGAGGCAGCAGGTAAAATGAAAGGGGGTAAGGCAGCCGGGATTGATGGGATAAAGATAGAAATGTTAAAAGCAGGTGGGGATATAGTTTTGGAGTGGTTGGTGCAATTATTTAATAAATGTATGGAAGAGGGTAAGGTACCTAGGGATTGGCAGAGAGCATGCATAGTTCCTTTGTATAAAGGCAAAGGGGACAAAAGAGAGTGCAAAAATTATAGGAGGATAAGTCTGTTGAGTATACCTGGTAAAGTGTATGGTAGAGTTATTATTGAAAGAATTAAGAGTAAGACGGAGAATAGGATAGCAGATGAACAAGGAGGCTTTAGGAAAGGTAGGGGGTGTGTGGACCAGGTGTTTACAGTGAAACATATAAGTGAACAGTATTTAGATAAGGCTAAAGAGGTCTTTGTGGCATTTATGGATTTGGAAAAGGCATATGACAGGGTGGATGGGGGCGATGTTGCAGGTGTATGGTGTAGGAGGTAGATTACTGAAAGCAGTGAAGAGTTTTTACGAGGATAGTGAGGCTCAAGTTAGAGTATGTAGGAAAGAGGGAAATTATTTCCCAGTAAAAGTAGGCCTTAGACAAGGATGTGTGATGTCAACGTGGTTGTTTAATATATTTATAGATGGGGTTGTAAGAGAAGTAAATGCGAGGGTCTTGGCAAGAGGCGTGGAGTTAAAAGATGAAGAATCACACATAAAGTGGGAGTTGTCACAGTTGCTCTTTGCTGATGACACCGTGCTCTTGGGAGATTCTGAAGAGAAGTTGCAGAGATTGGTGGATGAATTTGGTAGGGTGTGCAAAAGAAGAAAATTAAAAGTGAATACAGGAAAGAGTAAGGTAATGAGGATAAAAAGATTAGGTGATGAAAGATTGGATATCAGATTGGAGGGAGAGAGTATGGAGGAGGTGAATGTATTCAGATATTTGGAAGTGGACGTGTCAGCGGATGGGTCTATGAAGGATGAGGTGAATCATAGAATTGATGAGGGGAAAAGGGTGAGTGGTGCACTTAGGAGTCTGTGGAGGCAAAGAACTTTGTCCTTGGAGGCAAAGAGGGAAATGTATGAGAGTATAGCTTTACCAATGCTCTTATATGGGTGTGAAGCATGGGTGATGAATGTTGCAGCAAGGAGAAGGCTGGAGGCAGTGGACATGTCATGTCTGAGGGCAATGCATGGTGTGAATATAATGCAGAGAATTCGTAGTTTGGAAGTTAGGAGGAGGTGCGGGATTACCAAAACTGTTGTCCAGAGGGCTGAAGAAGGGTTGTTGAGGTGGTTCGGACATGTAGAGAGAATGGAGCGAAACAGAGTGACTTCAAGAGTGTATCAGTCTGTAGTGGAAGGAAGGCGGGGTAGGGGTCGGCCTAGGAAAGGTTGGAGGGAGGGGGTAAATGAGGTTTTGTGTGCGAGGGGCTTGGACTTCCAGCAGGCATGCGTGAGCGTGTTTGACAGGAATGAATGGAGACAAATGGTTTTTAATACTTGACGTGCTGTTGGAGTGTGAGCAAAGTAACATT